AAAATATGATCCGCGAAGAAAACTATTAGAAGCGAGTGGCACTTCAAAAAAATTTAACGTCAGCTGTCAAAAAATAGTCTTCATATTCTGCAGCCTAAAAGCAGAACAAAAAATGTGGTTTACAGAGAGGTGCTGCAAAAATAAGAGTTACATGACCATCTGTCTGACGCAACTATCCCCTTAGCGCTTTGAAAGAAGATTACCTAATGCTACCTACACCCTATACCTACAAAATTTGTATAGGGCGTGCGAAGCCGCGGGCAACAGCTAGTAATTTATATGATTACTATCGATATTCGTATTGTTGATGGTTGAAAAGAGATATGTAACACAAGCAAAATAAATTACCATAATATGGATAGATTAAACTAGGCGCCTTCGGCGCCCCGATACCCCTGCGCCCTAGGCAGGCGCCTAGTTCGCCACCCCCTAGTTGCGGCCCTGCCTGCTAGTGACGTTACTATCAGCAGCTTATAGTGATGACGTCACCCGCAGACCTCTATGGAATGCTTGCGATTCAGGCTGTGCTAGTGAGTTAATTTTTTCGTCGATTTTGAATGTATAGGAAAGGTGATTATCGGTCTGTTCTCACAGAAGAAATTAAGTGTTCATGATCCTCAAGTCTCGAGTATTCCAGAATTTGATGGTGGGGTAGTTAGGGGAGCAGGACACAATTGACACATCACATAATCCAACATAGCAGAATCGATTATACTTGATTATCCCCGCGAAAAATAGCCTTATAAAGCAGAGAAAGGTTGGTACCATATCAATTGACAAAGAGGACTGTGCCCCTTATAAATCGCAGAAGGTACATGTTACGTGTTTGGACGCGTACTATCTCTAGTTACTCAGAGGCGCAATTATCTTCACGGACCATACAATAATTAGTATTAAAGACTTACTTTTTTCCACCCTGTATGAAATCTTTTTGAAACAAAAAAAGACGAAAAGGTTTAACCAACAATAATGAAGAACATTGTTTCGAATAACTGAGACAAAGAATCAGGGTGATGAAAGTCATTTTTCAGGTAAACTGAAATTTCTGCAAAACTACGAGATTTATTCAAAAACCCTTCAAGTTGTTTTTTACCATTGAACTATTGATTCTTTTTAAACCCAGAAAAAATGCAGAAGTATGTTTGAAAAGAAATGGCGACGCTCTGAAATTTGTCAAACTTTGCACTGTTTTATTGTCCACCCTGTATGTTGAAGATAACGTTTCTGTTTATCAGCACGATACCATATACCTTGAACATCAAACAATGCGCCCCAATATGCTTTAAACCGCAATCAAATATCTCTTATACTTTCTGAGATATTTGACTTCAAAAATAGGCAAAAAATTTCTTTATGCGTATCGAAGTTCCAGCAGTTTATATATATATCTATATCCATGGAACCAAAAAAGCGGGCCAAAACACTTTCCGTGCGTGATCGAAGCATGATCGGCACGTGGCTTTGCATCTATTGGGCTAAAATAAACAAACCCCTCACGCTGGCCAATCGGATTCACCTGCAATCTGTAGGGGACTTCCAAGGTAGGGGACCTTATTGCTTTTGGCCTAATCGTTACAGGGTCGGAATGGTCATTTACGTTTTAACGATCGGTGGTGTTACATTTTACCGGATATTTAGTAGTGATTTTTTTTATTAGTTTTAAAGTTTTAAATTATTAAAATGTCGGATGAAGAAGCTGCTAATATGTGTTTCAACACTCCACCTCAAAAGAGACCAAAAAAAGTGCCTTTCAATAGTAATGAAAAAAATTTAATTATGAACATTTACAAAAATGAAGTCGAAGCAAATCCCGAATTGTTAGTTGATGAAATCGTGCGAAAAGTAGGAAACATTGCTGGAGTGTCTCCAAGTGGTGTTTATGCCGTTATGAGAGAATCTAAACAAAAGCAATTATTTTCGGATATCAGAAGGAAAGTACATCAATTTTTTTTCCGGAACCAAATGCCAACAATAGATTCAATTCTCAAAGATGTAAATGATGATCCTGATCTACCAGATTTCAAAAGGTCGACATTCCACGAGTTGTTGAAAGAATTAAGTTTTAAATTTAAAAAAAGAGGGAGAAATAGTTTGTTGCTCGAGAAACCAGAAATTGTATTGTGGAGACGAGATTATTTAACGAAAATACGGGCCTATAGAAGAGAAAATAGGAAAATTTACTACCTGGATGAAACGTGGGTGAACGCAGGCCACACTAAGTCTAAAATTTGGGTTGATGAATCCGTAGGTTCTTCAAGGCAAGCCTTCTTAGATGGCCTCTCAACTGGGTTAAAGAACCCATCAGGTAAGACCTTATTAAACTCTTAACCTTAACGTGTGTGTCTGTGAACAAGATAATTTGCATTTGGATTAGGTATTGATTTAAAATTTGGTATAGTCTATTTCATTGCTGTTGATAGCAAAAATCGAGGATTAGGGCCATAAAGTAATTGTATTCGACTTGGTTTACAATAACTTTATGGCCTAAACCTCGATTTGTAGGTACCAATACCTATTAGTAAGCGATGGTCAAAAAGGGTCTAAAATTACTTGTTAGCTATGAAAAATAGACCCACAGTATGTATCTACCTGTGTATTTTCCAAGAAAGTTTATTATTAATTATTTTCTGTATTCATTAAAATCGTAGAGAATTGGAAGGGTTTCATCTTACCGTTCGATCAATTAGTTAAAATTCAGGTAACAACGAAAATGTGTTGGTATAGTATGAAATTTTAAGTATGTCTTTGGTAACTGGTTTTCGATTATTTGTGTTTGGTTGGACACGATTAAATCAAAAATTTTTTTTGTCTGCCTCGCAGCACATTTTATTCAGGAAATAGTCCAAAAAATATGTTTTATGCATGTAAATATTCTGTTTCAACTAAAACAAAATAAATCTTGTTTCAGGAAAAGGAAAAAGGTTGATAGTGTGTCACATAGGAAGCGAAACCGGGTTTGTACCCGACGCCTTGTGGGCCTTTGAGTCGAAGAAAAAGGGCGACTATCATGAGGAAATGGACGGCAAATCGTTTGAAAATTGGTTTACCAACACAATTCCAAACCTAGAAGAAAATTGTGTAATTGTTTTAGACAACGCCATATACCATTCAAGAAAAGCTGAACAAATTCCAACTACAGCCACAAAAAAAGCCCTAATTCAAGACTGGTTGCGTTCGAAAAGTATACCATTCGAGGATAGCATGATAAAAGTACAACTTTTGCAGAAAGTGAAGGAACATAAAACCAAATATAATAAATACATTGTCGACGAAATTGCTAAAGCACATAATAGAGTAGTATTACGTCTTCCCCCTTATCACTGCGAGCTCAACCCAATAGAGCTTATTTGGGCGGACATAAAAAACTATGTTGCAAACAAAAATGTTACTTTTAAATTTTGCGATCTTAAAAATATTTTCAGTGAAGCTGTTTTGTCTATCACTGCTGAAAAATGGAATAATTGCGTAGGACATGTAAAAGATAAGGTAGAAGTGAAAATGTTAGAATTAGATCACATAGTTGATGAATTAGTTGATTAAAATCCGATAATAATTAATCCTAATGAATCTTCTAGCAGTTCTTCGGATTCTGAGTAACTGGACTAAAATGAAAAAAGTATTTATTATTTTATCATTATTTTTTTATTATTTTTGCGCTAGTATTAAATAAACATAATTTTGAAATCGAAAACTGTTAACCCGTTTGTCAATTATCCTCCTAAAATAGAAATGTCCCCATTTTTTTGTACTTCATTAAATGTTATATGTATATACAAAATGGTTTTTGTTTTTCTTTATTAGTTAACCTTTGAGTAATTTTTCCATACCTAGTCGCATATTAGGTATTTAATAAAATTTGATAAAATTTCGATGGTCCCTAAGTGCGAGTGCGACTCTGTACAAGCACATCTGCCCAGGCCTCGCCTGAGGGATCACGTGCACTGTGCATGACAATGTTTTGGTGCACTCCGTAGCTTCGTTGGATTTAGTAGCTATTGAAAAAGTGCGGTCCAACGAGAACATTGCTAGTGGCTGGTTGGGGTGTAGCTACATTTATAAGGAATTTATCACCTGCTGAATCTATGAAATGTAAAAAATCACACAATCGTAAATTATATTTCTATTTATCAAATTTAATGTAATAGTTTCCAAAACGCAAAACTTCAAGGTCCGATCCGAAAGAATTAAAAAAAAATAATCTAACAACGGGGCTCAAAAAATCATCATTTCATTAGGAACAGTTTGGCAACGCTGACAAATAGACGGAACTGCTGATTTGACGAACTTGCTGGCCGTTTGCACCGACCATTTTAGGGATAATAATATGAGAAAATATCGATACTTTCGAAAAGATATTTCTGATTTTTTTATGATACATGATAATATAGACGTCCCAGATTTGGAAGTGGAGCCCCGAGCAAGCCCCTTCTTGCATTTCCAATTTCCAGGGTCTAATGTAAAACTGGTCGTGGTAGTCGTAGTGCTCCTTCGTTTCATAATCTAATACCTAAATATATTTTTTTTCATTATTTTAAAATACCTATTTTTTCCAAAATATAATTTCACACCGGCAACGACACATGAACCAAGAACAAACAACAATAATTTATAATTTAATATTTATTGAATAATAATAATTATGGAAAATTGTTATGAATATTGATAGTAATTCCAAATTTGACAATAGGAAAAATGACATTCTTTGAAATATTAATATTTGCGTTTGACAAATGGCATTCGATGATGCTTTACATTTCTAGTTCAATGAAAATTCTGATGCCAATTGCCAGATCCTCATTCATATATATATACATAGGTAGGTATATATAAAATACCTATAAACCGACTATAAAATATATGTATATCGATATGCACCATCATCGCGGGTGTATCGATGTATATGAATATATCATATCGATACGCCCTCCACTACTCTTAAGCTTAAGTAAGTCATAACTCGACTTCGGGACTTCCGCTCGCTCTAGGAGCGCTACACGGGATCAGTCTCTCCGAAAGCGGCTGAACGAATTAGACCGGAATTCTAACGGGTAAAAATGTCTTCCAACATGAATTGTCCAGAACCAAGGGCGGCCGGAACCCGAGAAGAAGAGGGTCTCTACTCGGTGGACGAAATACTTGGTGTTCGCATCGAAAACGGTGTAAAAGAGTATTTGCTAAAGTGGACAGGTTATGATAACACACATAACTCATGGGTGCCTGAAGGTGAGCATTGGTGTTTTTTTTTTAGCTTATAATACCATATTTTTATCCAAACAACCTCTATCCTATCCTTGTATTTTCAATGGAACAAGTTAAAACACGCGGACTTTATTTTGGTTTTATTGTACAGGGTGGAATTTTTAAATGGAATAAATTCAATATCAGAAAGCCCGTTTATTTTGAGGGATGAGTTTTTATGCAAAATTCACCTCCCCTTTCAACACCACAGCCCCCCAAAGCCACCCTCTAGCAAATCTTAAATGGGAGGGGGGGTCAAGTGATCATCATTTTGGAGGGTTTTTAATTCCATACGTTTTGGTACTAAATTTTAATCCCTAAGTTCAACTGTTTTGGAAATATTGACAGTTGAAAATTGACTTTTTTGCTACTTTGATAGGCTGTAAAACCTAAACGGTCAATTTTCGAGAAAAACCGATCTTACATTCTTATCTTAGATTTTCATAAACTATCATTTCACGCCATTTATGAATTTAACCGGAGATTGAATTTTTAACCGGAATTTTTGATCATGGATTAAATTCAAAGTTGCTGTCAAATGTGCAAAAATTTAAGACAAGAATGTAAGATCAGTTTTCCTCTAAAATTAACCGTTTAGGTTTTACAGCCTGTCAAAGTTGCAAAAAAATCAATTTTCAATTATTGTCAATATTTCCAAAACAGTTGAAGGGAAAGATTAAAATTTAGTACCAAAATGTATAGAATTGAAAACCTTCCAAAATAATGTATCATTTGACCTCCTGGCCCCCTTCCCATTTAGGATTTTCTAGGGGGTGGCTCTGGGGGCTGGGGATTTGAAAGGGAAGGTGGTGAATTTTGCATAAAAACTCATCCCCCTTCAAATTATAATTGACGTGTTTTTTCCAAAATTTCCAACTCCGAGATAATAGAGTTGGTAAGTTTTAAAATGAACATCCTGTATAACGTTACAAATGAAACTTATTTCGCATTAGGGGTCTACCAAGAAAAAATGCTGAAGATTTTCAACAATTTTAACTGTAAAAAAAATTGTTAGTCCAAGAAATGGGGATCTGAAAAGAGGGTTTACCCTCAACATAATTAGAAGTTAACATTTTTTTGGGGGGATCGGTCCATTTTAATATGCTAAATAACATATTAAGTTTGCGACCTTGTATATACTTAATGTGCACTAATTTTTTTCCATAAAAATATCGATACAGCGGTAATAGTACACTATACACCTAGGGACGAAAGTGGGTGCTTTTAATCGCGAGACAAAAAAAGGGAGGGCTATAATTTGTCAAGGGATTAAAAAACACTTCAGTACTGAGGTGTATACACTATTTTATTTACTTTAGAGGGATTAAAAGTACACTCTAAATCCCTAAGGAATAGGGATGAAAAGTACCCTTTTATTCCGTTTCATTTAATCCTCGGGAAATAAAGTAAAAATTTAATCCCTTGGGAAATGAAGTGAAATTTAATCCCGGAGATTAAAAGACCCACTTTACTCCCTTGAAAAGATACTTTTAATCCCTAAAGGGCATAAATTAATTTTTCCTATTTCAAAAATCGGTGAAGTTTCAAATTTCACAAATCTTGGTACATAATAGTTTATTCAAAACGTTATCTAAATACTTGTTATTTTCTAGTAATTTATGTATAAAAAATATAATTCGCCCCGGCAATATGTTAATAATTTACGAAGCTAGCACTTTTGCAGTTTCGAGTTTCGGGATGCGACACAATGTCGTTTCTCTTTAACAAAAGTCATAAGGCATATCTATCTGTTCTAAGAAAGAATGCTCAATTGTCTCGAGCACTTACTTCATTTTATCCAGAACATGCTTTGAAATCAAAAATTTTGAAAGTCGGTATAGAGTTTTATTTACTCAAGTTATGCCAAAGTTATGCCAAAACTACCTGAAGCCTGAAGCCAAGCCTGAATGAACTTTATGTATTATAGAAATCATAGAATAATCACTTCAATAGGCAGGTACTCTCAGGTCAGTTAAATTTAGTCGTGCTGCCTCTTACAGAAAAAGCGGCAGAAAAACATCTACTGAAAGTTTATCATCTGGTAAATCATAAATCAATAAAAATCATTTTAAAATGAATAACTAAATTAGTTTAAATGTTGAATAATAAAGTTAAGAATGGCTGGGCAATCGTCTGGATCCTGCAGCATGGGGCTGGGTAAAAAGCGACAATGGTGACCTAATTCCAAACAAAACGAAACAAGAAATAGCACCACTCATTTAGGGTAATCAACTTTTTGTAACTGCAAATAGAGTGCATGTGGACGTAGTTGTTCATGTAAAAATTTGGGCATTAGGTATTCCCCAAAGTGTGGCCATTGCTATGGAATAACTTGTACCAATTCTGTATTTGAAATAGAAGAGGAGGAAATTATTGACTTTTCATAAGTTTTTCATCCAATTACCTCATATTGGGCTTTTTTGTTTTTGAAACACAAAATATGTGAATCAAACCCTTTGCAAATCAAAATTTTTAATATATTTTAGGTACCTTATCATTTTAAAATTGTGTAACTTTTCTATTTTTGAAGCTACAAATAGTTAATTTATACCAAACAATGCCAAAATATTTTTAAGCCCTGTAAATAAGGCATCCTCACAATTTTGCCAAAATGCATCAATAAAAAAGTAAAAACTGGAAAATAAAAATGGCGGATGTTTTTTTCTACAGATTCATCATGCTGGGATTGGATGGGACTTTTAGTATGTTGAATAGGACCCTTTTTCCCACACATTGAAAAAAAATATAGCTTGTCTCTAATTTGTTCTACCCCCAACTGCATATTGCCTGTTCTATTATTTTGAAGTACCTACCTATAAACCGGCTTTACAAGATTGTCTGTACACTGTGGGCCAAATTCTCGGCCAAATTTATTCGGAACCAATTTGGCTCTGAATATGTATTTTTTTAAAATTTGGCAGATGTTGGTGAAATTTTGTGTAAATATTCGGGGGAAATTCTGTAGAATTGTAGAAAAAATATCTAAAGAACGTACAGGGGAAGCCAAGTGAGAAGCAATAAATAATATAACACAGTAATTGATTCATAAGAACATCTAATTGAATTTATTTCAAAATTTTGTTCTCAGATTCGTAATTTGGAAGTTAATCGTAAATCGCTCTGAAGATGCAAAAAAAAAAAACGGCACGTCAGAATTGGCCCAAATTTGGCATAAACATTCTTTGATAGATTATTCAAAGATTGATGGAGTTATTTTTTCAATTTTTAGCGTGTTTTTTTCTATTTTGGAAAATAATTTATAACAAGGCCTTTTTCAGAAAATAGGCAACAAAAGAAACAGCAGGGTGCTGTTGCCACCTTAACAACGGTATATTCTACTGTTAAAGGGAATGGGAAATAGCACTGGAACATCTTCTGTTTTCCTAGAGATCATTTTTCTAAATCAGTTATGGTTTCTTCGGCTATATCGATACTAGGAGAAACTGAAAGTTATTTTATTGACTGGAGTGATAATTAACTTGAAATCTATCAAAAGGATATTTTAGAAGATATACTTCGAGAAATAGAAACAATTAGCGAGAACAAAAGAAGTAACAAGAAAATTGTCCTGACTTAATTGAATCAACCATGTGGCCTCCAAATAGCCCGAATTTGAATCCCGTCACCCGGGAAAATTAGAGTAGCTTTGTTCCAACCCAGCAGGAAACCGTAATATTACCGGCAGGATTCTGCACAAAACCTAAAATTTTTGCGTAGAAACCGAAATTCCCATACAGGGTCCTTGTTCTTGAAACAGGGGAGCAGCGTTCCCAGGAGAACGATTGTTCCGTCTTTGTTACTTATATTATCATTTGCATATCATTGAGAAAGACGGAACACTCGTTCTCCTGGGAACGCTGCCTCCCTGTTTCAAGAATAAGGACCCTGTATGGGAATTTCGGTTCCGAAATCGTTCTGGGACGGTTTTTTGACAGGTTGGAACAAACCTAATATAATCACGAAATTATAAATCAGGCAATTGTACAAAAGCGCCAAAGTCTGGAAGATAATCAGGGAGGTCATTTTCACAATAAGTTCTTGTTGTGAAGACTAGATTTTTTATCAATTTTGACCCTGTTTTTATTATCTTCTTATTCAATAAATAGAACCCTCTCACGCTTTATGATAATATTAATAAACGTTCACGAAAAAAATACGTTTTAAATACGAAATTAAAAGTTTATCGATTTTTTTTTAGAGCCTCTTCTCCGATTCTCAATACTAATTTTCAAATAATTTTTGTAGTTTTAGTCAGGAAAAAAATTATTTTGCAACAGGTCCAAAGGCGATGATCAAAAATATTGCTCCTCACTTGGCTCCCACTGTACATTGATTAGTTAGATATTGTCACGGCTCTGGGGTGCGTGATAGAAATCTTGGGTCCGTTTATTCCAAAAATCAAAATCCAATCAACACAAGAACAATTTATTCCCCGACATGCCTTTCTGATCAGGATAGGACAACACTGGGCCTTGTACATAATGCTCCTTTTAATTTTCTAAAAGTGGAATCGCATTCTTGAGTCCAATTGAATGTTAATTTTTCTTCCGTTAATCGATGAAGCGCAACAGCTACATTAGCGAATCCTTCTACAAATCTTCGATAATAAGAACATAATCCTAGAAAACCCCTTAGTTCATGTTTGTCGCGTGGTTTTGAACAATCCCGGACAGCATCTATATTTCCTTCAATAACTTGTATGCCATCTCCAGATACCACGTGACCTAAGAATTCCATTTTCTTTTGAAATAGAAAACACTTATTTGGATTGAGTTTAAAGTTGGCATTCCGGAAGCGATCAAAAACTTCTTTCAGGTTATTCCACTTCCTGTTGTTTAGCTACTGGCATACGTCGAGCTGGTTGTCTAATTGGGTGTACCAATCCAGTATCAATTTTGTGTTTGATTATCCATCACAAAAACGTCTGCTTCTTGCAGGATGAAATCTGTGGCTTCCTTGGGCTGGAACTCTGTAACGAATAGAGATATTTTCTCTATCTCAATTGACGTCTCCTCTCTATTGATTTCGACGAGAAAGAAAAAGACAGCAAGTACCATCGCGATAGGGATAACGATCCTTATCCGTTACAGAGTTCCAGCCCTGAAGTCTAACTGGATCGAGGTGTCTCCATGATTTCTCCAAAGTCTGCATCAAGGTGTCTGTTTCCAATTTCGGTTTTACAAAATGTCGCCTATCTGATAGGTCACAGTTCGATATTTGCTTAACTGGTTCGAGAGTTCCAATAATATCTCCTTCCTTTATTTTTACTGTTTCAGAAGAAACATTGGCAATTCTTATAATAATGTCTCCATTTGTTGTTAATAGAGTTCTAACGAGAAATTTTTCTGGTTTATCTCCAATAAAATTATGCGTTAGTCACACGCAGCACCCAGGGTTTGTTTCCAATTTTCCGCAAATAATCTTCTCAGTACTTCCAGGAATCCCCACCGGGTTTGTGGCCAGGATCTTAACGGCTTGAGATTCTTCTTGTGTAGTTAGGACAAATTTTCCATTACCAAATTTAATGATGTTCATAGAAGGATCGGAAGAGAAACCCTGTTGACCGATCAAATTCATTCCCAAAATAAAATAATCTACTATGTCGGCGACTGTGCCTAAAAGTGGTAGATCCAAGAGTAAGCTCAGCCATAGCTTCTCCTTGAACTGGTGCCGAATCGCCCATAACTGTTCTTTCTTAGTGACAGGTTTCTAGTAAGCGTTTGGATTGACCAAGACTTGACCAATGTTTTTCTTATCATAGAAACTTCAGCACCCGTATCAAAAGTGATGGTTTCAATTTCTCTATTAATTTGTCCTTCGCATTTTAATCCTTTATGAAAACTGCCCAATGATTTTATATAAACAACCCTGGGGGCTTCGTCATTACTAACCAGCATTCGCCCCTCCATACTGGTTAGTTGTCGTTTCCCTGTCTGTTATTGGGGCTGGCGTCTCTAGATCTCGAAAAGCGTTGGAAACGATCTCTAGATGGAGAGGACATCCTTACTCAACATCCAACCTCGTTGAATATGTCCAAGCTTATGGCACTGGTAACATTCTACTCAGTTTCTCGGAGTTGGTGTTTGTCTGGAATCGTTTTCCGGTTTTCTACCTTCTAGTAGTAGTTTCTTAATTTCCTCCATGAAATTACTCATAACATTCTCAAAAATACCATCCCACTTCTGACACCAATGTCACGACTCTGGGGTGCGTAACAGAAACTTGGGTCCGTTTATTCCAAAAATCAAAGTCCAATTAACACAACAACAATTTATTCCACGTTACTATACACTCTGACACTAATTACTTCACTAATTAACTCGAACAACTAAACTCTTTACAACTCTTAACAATAATCACTATCTAAATCATATCACAGTCGATCTTAAACATGAAACTACTAATACCGGCCTTTATATATCCGTAATCTATTCATGTAAAATCCAGAATAAACGCGATAGCCATCTTTCCCGTTTCCCGAATAGTCAGTATTTTGTAAATTTCAAGTTAGATTCTGTACACCATGGCGAAAGCGCACCGCGACAATATGTTTTTCATAATCAGGAAAAGGTCCCCTAATATTTACACAAAATTTCTCCATAAAGCCGCGTCCACATTAGTAAAAATTTATGTTGTGCGTGGTATTCGGCATAAATTTGTGTGTGCCATACATCTTTATGCGAGTGTGGAACTGTTCGCCGCATAAGGCGGTTACACACGGACGTGGATGTCTGAAAACATGTACGCACATACATGAACGCGCAAACAAAAGCATCAATGTGTATGCAAAACATCGTCGCGTTTTTGAATCTGCATTCGCTAGAAATTTTGTCTGCACACTCGGAACACACACTGTAGCAAGAATAGCAAGACTACAGTTTTGATAGTTTTGTGCGAGCGTCTGTACAAAGGCGTCATGCACGTTTTTGTTTGCACGTTGATGTATGGACGTATATGTATTAAGCCATCCACGCCCCTGTGTAACCGCCTATACGGACGCACGCTAAAAATTTTCGCGACATTCACCGCACGCGATCCGCGGTTTGTCGGTTTTTTTCAAGAGATCAAAGGGATTTGCGGCGCAACATGGTTCTAGTGTGGACGTATTTTTTCGCGAACAAAACAAAAACAAGCAACACGCACACTGAAATAAAATAAGCACACACGCGTTGAGCAAGAACGCCAAATTTGCGCCGCAAAAATTTGTGGCAAATCTCGAATTCAACGCAACGCATTTATTTACTGGACACGGCTTAATACGTATAATTAAAATAAAAATATATATACATATTCAGTGCCAAATTGGTTGCTTAATAAATTTGGTCTAAAGAGATCATGAGAGAAAATAATCGAATTAAAATATTTTTTTAGGTCAGCTGGATTGTCTGCGAAAGATAAGGGTATTCGAAGCCAACCTAGCCTTGGCCACAGACAAAAGAAAAAAAGGTTTCGACAAGGGCCTTGTACCCGAAAAAATTATTGGAGCAACGAATCATGGAGGTAAGCAAAAGCCTGATTATTATGGCTCACTAATAATATGCACCATTTTCAGGCCCTCTAAATTTTTTAATGAAATGGGTGGGATCGAACGAACCTGATCTGGTGACAGCTGAACAAGCTAACGTTAAATGCCCGCAAGTAGTCATAAAATTCTATGAGGAACGCATTAAATGGAGTTAACGGATGTAAATAGGAACTAAAACTAGAATTTAGATAGTTAGTTACATTAAGTCTTTATTGTTGTTAATTGGTTTACCTACATTAGGTCATAACATAATAGGTGACGTTAGTAAAAAATAGATGGTTTCCGAGATATTGCCACTTTAATAAAATTCGTTATAAAATCGTCCTCTTGGATCAGATTTTCGAGTGTCACCTTGAAATTTCCATTATTCTTAGATTCTGAATTCAGTTTTGCAATGGTGAATAAACATTTCATTTCTCATAGACCTGCATTAAAAGTCAAAGCTCAAAACATTTTCTGAAAAATCTTTTTAAAGTGAATACTTCTGATGCTTCACTTTAAAAAGATTTTTTAGTAAATGTTTTAAACTTCGACTTCTAATGTTGGTCTATGGCAAATGAAATGTTTATTCACCATTGCAAAACTAAATTCAGAATCTAAGAATAATGGAAATTTCAAGGTGACACTCGAAAATCTGATCCAAGAGGACGATTTTAACGAATTTTATCAATGTGACAATATCTCGGAAACCATCGATTTTCTACTGAGGTCATATTATGTTTTTCTGGATACTAATGAGTTGCTCCATCAGCCCTTTCAGTATTATCGTTGCCTTTCCAGACACCCTGTGTATTGAAAAAATTAAATTTCGACCGTATAAATTTATTAGCTGGAAATTTCGGGTATATGGTCTGTATATATTAATAATTCAATTGTTTTTAAACTCAATATTTGGTCTACTTTATTGTGACTTCTTCAGGAGTAAATGCTCAGAGTTATACATAAGTGTTAGGAATTAATTTAACAAGATTGAATCAATGATGGTGTAATATTTTGTTAGTAAATTCTATAGAATACAAAAGTAGAAATAAATTTGATATAAAACGATCGACAAGAAACAGAAAATGAAAAAAAAAAAATTCTGTTTCCTGTGAATCGTTTTATATTAAATCTATTGCTACTTTTATATTCTATAAAATTAACTTACAAAATATTCCACCATCCTTGATTCAATCTTGTTAAATTCATTCCTAACACCTATGTATAACTCTGAGCATTTACTCCTGAAGAAGTCACAATAAAGTAGACGAAATATGTTTAAAAGCAATTGAGTATTAATATACTATACAGACCGCATATTCGAAATTTCCAGCTAATATGTATATCTCCAAATTCTTCAATTAGTAGAGTCGATAATTGATTTTCATTTTATGTATACTCCTGGACAAAATTATCGCACCACCACTGCACATAAGCATCATAAGCAGTGGTGCGATAATTTTGTCCAGGAGTATATATATATACAATGTATTTGTTCAAATTATCTACAGCTGATGCATTCGTTTGTTCAGAAACTTTCAGTTTATTAAAGTTCACAGTATTCTTCTTGCTAACAAATGCATTTTATAAAAATAAAAAAGGGTACAGTCAGCCAATAAAGTGATGTCCCTAATTAAAAATTCATCGATCCATAAAAAAACTGATTAAAATAATCTTTTAATTTTTTTATTGACATTAGCTCTATGGTTGGTCTATCAGCTGTAGATAAACAAATATATAAAAGTTCCGGTTTTGGAGGCCAGTAGGTACTACACTTTGAATTTGGGACATTGCTTTATAGCTCATTTTCGGGCTTTAGTTTTGCCTATGTTTAGTTTTAAGCTTTTTTTGTTCAAATTCTAGAAATTAAAAATCCTTTATTTTTCAAATTATGGTTCAAGTTCTTCTTAAGATATTCGTTTCTTATCTCTAGTTTTAGTTTTGCAATAGGTTAATTATAGGTTTTAATAATAAAAATTGTTTTATCTTAAAGCGGTCCATAATTTGAACTTTATTGTCGTCAACACTCGACACAGAAGTGATCCATTATGTTCCTAGGACCATAATAGTATATTATACAGGGTGTCCACTTAGTGCGATATCGGACGATATCTCCTTACAGGGTGATTCAAGAGAAAAAATTTAAATCACAAAGTTGTTTGATACTCTAACATGCATTAGTTAAAAATATTTTTGAATATACAGGTTGCTCGTTTATGGGGTATGCGACCTAACTTTGTTATTTTAAATGGAACACCCTGTATGTGATTGCATATTTGGAATCTACGTAAAATTCTGAGCAGATTTCATGTAATATACCCTAGACCTAAGTTCAACTGTTTTGGAAATATTGACTTTTTGCAACTTTGAGAGGCTGTAAAACCTAAACGGTTAATTTTAGACGAAAACCGATTCTACATTCCTATCTTAGATTTTTATAAACTATCATTTGACACCAACTTTGAATTTAATCCCTGATTAAAAATTCCAGTTAAATTTAATCTTCGGTTAAATTCAAAGTTCATGTCAAATGATAGTTTATGAAAATCTAAGATAGGAATGTAAAATCGGTTTTCGTGTAAAATTAACCGTTTAGGTTTTACAGCCTGTCAAAGTTGCAAAAAGTCAATTTTCAACTGTCAATATTTCCAAAACAGTTGAACTTAGGTATAGAGTATATCACATGAAATCTGCTCAGAACGTAGAATCCAAATATGCAATCACATATAGGGTGTTCCATTTGAAATAACAAAGTTCTGTCGCATACCCCATAAACGAAGCACCCTGTATATTCAAAAATATTTTCAACTAATGCATATTAGAGTATCAAACAACTTTGTAATTTAATTTTTTTTTCTTGCATCACCCTGTAAGGAGATATAGTCCGATATCGCACTAAGTGGACACCCTGTATACCTAGGTAGAGATTTTTTTCTACTGCTAGTAGAAAATAAAAAAATAGGTATGAAATCTTTGCTCAAATTATTTTTTTTAATGCCTTCTTGAAAGTGCTGCCCTCTATCAACAGCTTATGGTCACTTCAAATGTACAGTGTGTCCCATTTTGGATGTCCATGAGGGATAACTCGTTTGCTATTGGAGTTAGAAGGAGCGGTTTCCGCGAACCATAGCTTCTTTTTTGTCAAACGAAAGATGGCGCCAACAGAATTGTCATCGCTCTTTTTGTTTTTCAGATACAAGGTGTTTTTGAAAAAGTTGCATTTTGCGACACCCCTTGTATCTCGGTTCTCTCATAAGTGATCGAAAAGCTGACAACGGATTATCATAGATATTTTTACGTAGCTTCCAGTGGTGTAGTCAGTTTTTCTCTAGAAGTGATAGTTTTCAAATTGGGAACCAAATATACGTTTTTTCAAATGAGTCACCCTATATATTATAAACTCATTGGATAGCTCTGCTTTTGCTGATTTTAATGACATAAAATTCGATAGGTTTATCTCTGACAGTTTTCGAGCAAAAAAATTGTATCTGTTTTTGTCATAAGAAACAATGTGTTAGAAAGAGACCTCTCTCGTTTTCCTTACAAATGCAAAGTCCTTTTCTGACACATTGTTTCTTATAACAAAAACAGTCATGATGAACCTATCGAACTTTATATCGATGAAATCAGTAAAAGTAGAGCTATCCAATGAGCTATTAATATACGCAGGGTGTCTCATTTGAAAAAACGTATGTTTGGTTCATAATTTAAAAACTATTACCTACTTCTAGAGAAAAACAGACTACACCACTGGAAGCAACGAAAAAATATCTATAAGAATCCGTTGTCAGCGTTTAGATCACTTATGAAAGAACCGAGATATAAAGAGGTGTCCCAAAATGCAACTTTTTCAAAAACACCTTGTATTTGAAAAACAAAAAGAGCGATGACAATTCTGTTGGCGCCATCTTTCGTTTGACAAAAAAGTAGCGCACGTTTGCGAAAACCGCATCCTTCTAACTCCAATAGCAACCGAATTATCCTCTCATATATTTAGACAACTAAAATCGGACACACTGTGCAGGGTGTTTCCTCATATTTTGACACCTACCTACAACTTCAGCCATACGAGGTGCCCGAGGTGGAAAAAAACTTCAAATATGAAAGTTATGCGGTTTTATCGGTAGTATATTTTGGCGCTTCTAAAACAATTAAATTCGAATCGCAGAATTATAATAAAAGACCAAATCATGTTTTCTTTAATGAAACACCCTGTATATATAGTGGAGGATCCGTATAAGAGAGGTTCTGCACCCATCTGTTTGATGGATAAAAAGTATTTTATATCAAATTAAGTATGTTAAAAAAAATATCGAGAGTGGGTTGGCTAAGAAATTCATGGCCAGAGTGTGATTAATAAATAATTAAAAAATTATAATTGGTGAAGGCATTGCACTCATTTGTTTAACGAACAAATTGTATACTAATCGAAAGTATAAGGCCTACAGAATATAGAAAAGTTGGGTTGTCTATTTTTTTTCTGGCATAACTATTGGGTTGGCAGGTTTGAACAGGTGAGTCGATACTAGTAATTTACGCCCATCTGTTTAATATATAAATCTTACATCAAAATAAACGTTATTTCATAGCGAACACGAAGATATAGGGTTGTCTGCGAACAATCTGTCCAAAATGAGGGTTGGCGAGCTTTGAAAAGTGAAATTTTGGTGCGGCTGGAAATATGCGACTGAGAGGTTCGAGCGAACTATCTGGTGCAATAGAAGCGGACTTGTGGCGAGTCCGGATGAATGAAAATGGTATACTTAAAGTTCTTTTTTTTATGAAAAGCCAATTTCAATGAACAATTTTTTAAAGTTTCATCATTGAAATCAATTACTGAGTCATGCGAGTCCCACAAAATAGTGTACATATTTTTGGAATGTTTGTCAGTTAAATAAATCAGTCTGTAAATAGTTTATATTAATTCAGGGTCGGTTTTTTGTTTATTCAACTCCTGATAAACTTACTGGTAACTATCTACAAGATAAATTTACCCATCAATAGTAATCCGATTGGTCAACGAATAATTGGCCGACCAATAGGAGGATTATAGATTGCGTTTTCATCCGTCTGATAATTTACCTGGTAGTTTATCAGAACTCAGAAGGTGAATAAACCGCGGCTCATTGTTATAACAAAGATATATAACATAAAAATTTGAATTGTTCAATTGCACGCGAAAACACGTCTTTTTCTAAGAGCATTTGAAATATCATTTCTTCTGCACTAATTCCGCAAACGGAAATCGTATGTAGTATTCTCTCACGTCACACCAATAGCGGAGCGTTTTCGTACATACCCCGGGAATTTTAATTCGGGACAACTTTAAAACCAGAAATCTATTTTGAAAATCGAAATTTGTTTGAAACAAATTGAACATTTTTTAAAATTTTTAGAATCTTTATTCATTTTTTACTGCACCGGATAGTTCGCCCGAACCTCTCTGTCGCATATTTCCATCCGCACCAGAATTTCGCTTTTCAAAGGTCAAAGCTCGCCAACCGTCATTCAGGCCAGATTTTTCGCAGACAACCCTATATCATCGTGTTCGCAATAAAATAACTTTTTTTTTATATAAGATCTATTCATTAAACAGATGGGTGTGAATTACTAGTATCGACTCTCCTGTTCAAACCTGCCAACCCAATAGTTATGTCAGGAAAAAAATAGACAACCCAACGTTTCTTCGTTTCTATATTCTTTAGGCCCTATACTTTCGATTAGTATGAAATTTGTTCGTTAAACAAATGAGTGCAATGCCTTTAACAATTATAATTTTTAAATTATCTATTAATAATAGTCTGGCCAGGAATTTTTCAGCCAACCCACACGTGATATTTTTTTTAGCATACTAACTTTGATAGATATAAAATAATTTTTACCCATTAAATAGATGGGTGCAGATCCTTTCCTATTCGGATCTTAGACTAATATTTTTAGCTCCTTTTTCTCCTGGTTCAGCCGTTTTTGTGCTATTGAAGTTCAAAATTGCATTAAGTAAGCCTCACCATTGATATAAGGAACCAGGAACAAACCTAATTTAGGATAATGTAACTGAATTTTTATACTTAAATAGCGTAGTAAAAACAGCTGAACTAAATATCAACATATATGATATATTTGGAAACAGGAGAAAAAGGACTTTCATTAGAGCTAAAAATATACAGGGTGTTCCATTTATGTAAAAAAAGATTTGATCTTTAATTATAATTATAAACTACCGATAAAACCGTACAGCTTTCCCGTTTAAGGTTTTTTTTTCACCTCGTATAGCTAAAGCTGCAGGTAGGGGTCAAAATATGAGGAAACACCCTGTACACACAGAAACCTGTTTTTTTTTAAAAATTGGCAGGTGCAAATTGGAATTGAGACAATAGAAACCTGACAATATCCTTGAGTCATGACGTCATTTTCATTATTGACCTGGGTTTTTTTTTGTTCATTATCATCATTATTCACTTAGAAAGAGAAATTCGATTTTTTTTCTCAGAAAAATAGATTGAATAATGAATTTCTCAGGTTAGTAGTAGAAAAAAATCTTTATGTATAGGGTAATTTGTTCCATTTTTTCTCGCTAGAGACAGCAGCGTCAATCAGCGCTATTATGTTATGGTAATTAATTTTACGTATTTTTTTCGCTAGTTCTCAAGAGCATAACTTATTCATAATTTATACTAATTTGTTCGTTTTAAATTTTTTGTTCAATAATGCAAATTAAATTAGTGCAAAAATAAAAGTGGGACTATGTTTTTGAACTAAAAACGGGTGTTAAGGTTGAATCTGCTTCGGATGTTTGACAGTTCAAGGGTTCAAGAACTATCCAATGTTGATCCAATCGGTTCATACGATACTCTGTGGTCGGGAGTAGTTGGGAGTGTTGGGACGA